CAGTTTAACCAGAGATTTTAAATATATGTTAATATCCTCCTTATTGAATTTTTGGATTCTATATATATAAGAATTTTATAACGAAGAGACTTCTCTATCAGACAACTTTATTATTATATCGAACATTATTTAGAGATTCAAAAATTTGAATTCATATTCCACATGACTAAGGCACAATGTCGTTATCACCACATTTTTAAGAAGTATCAGGTATGTTCAGCTTGAACAAAAAGAACAGCGTCTAACACTATCTATTAAATAAAATTGCAGTGACCGCACTCTGAGCCGACTCCGGTCTCAGTATTTCGAAGCCGCTCTCCGTACCGGCAGGCACCCTGTCGTGCTCTACTTGCATGGCAATGGTGGCACACGCAGTACCAGTACTCGCATCCCGCTGTACAGGCTTCTGTCCGAATCCCCCGAATTGGATCGACATGTGATTGCTGTAGATTATCGCGGATACGGAGATTCTACGACCCTCCAAATGGGCCTTCTGAACGGGGGGTAGTACGCGATGCATTGGCCACCTATGCATGGCTTGCGGCTCGGATGCCGCCAAACGCCGAGTTGATTATCTGGGGACACTCGTTGGGCACGGGTATCTCGCTACAGATGCTTAGGAAGATTCAGGTAACTTGCCAACAGTATCAATGAATTTTTATATGAAATTTATAAAATTCTTTCAACTGTAAATCAATTATTTGCCGAAACTTGCAGCTCTGTCTATACTATATGTTCATATGAAACAATGGGTAATATGGAAAGTTAGAACTTTATCTCAAGTTCGTAAATTCACATTTTACTTTTGTAGTTCTCATTACTAAATAATAATATTATTATTAATTATTAGTAAATAACTTTGCAGTCCAAAATTCTATTATAATTCAAATTAGTCGTATATTCTGCAAACAGAGTACGCTGATTTAAGTATTAGAATTATTTCTCCCAAAAGATTGCCTATTTTGTTATTTTTTATTTTTGTTTCATTTTTTACAAATTAATGTTCAGTTCATTTTATGCTAGCTAACTAACATATCAATTAAATCGTGTTTTCAAGAATGTTCAATAAAATTTAAAATTTTGTAGTTACTCTAGGATATACATATAATCATTTTCTGAGAATATAGTTTTAACATATAAATAAATTTCTTTCTGTCAAATCTTAAACAATGAAGCAATGTCATTCTTCAAGGGAAACAGGTGACGAATAAAAAAAAAATTGCATAGTAATTGATGATTCCTGCTATATATTATTAATTTTTTTGCACGAAAAATAAAGATCGTAAAAATTTTTTTTGGTTACAAAACCATATTATCCAAAATGCAAAAAAATATCGATGTAGTAGACAGGGGTCAATTTATGTACCATATGCACAACGATAATTTTTTTATATTTGTTTATGCTGGTAAAATGGTCATTTTTGCGTGATGTTAAAATCAAGGCCGATTCCACAAACAAAAACAGGGAAATATTTAATATTAAAAAACCCAAAAATATTCCAAAACCAATTTTATTCTTTTGTCGTGTTTTTATTATCCGGTTATTACATATGTGTATTTATATGTTCTTCAAATAAATTATGCATAATTAAGATTCATGTATGTTTTTTATTCTGGCGTCACGTCATTTAGAATAATTAATTTATGCGGGATCGACAGACAACCGATGAGCCCGGAAATATCGCATTGTAGATCATTTGTATGTAATTTTTATGAAAACATGAGCAAACTATATGCATGCATATACTGTATTATATATATATATATATATATATATATATATATATATATATATTGTATTTAATTGTGACAAACTATTTTATTTTTTTACCGGCATTCAAGTAAAAAATAATATGCATTTTTATTGTTTTTATAATCTTTCTCTGTGATTATATCATCAAATTTTAATAGTTGTTTTGTGAGTAACACGAATTACGACTTTCCTTTCAACTATAATGATACGCTATTACGCTTATATTTTACTAACGATTATACAAAAATCATTTAATGTATCGAAGCGTGTCTATATATAGGACAAACAATTAAAATAAATATAGCTCTAGGTTGTATTCTTATACAATTTTTTGTGAGTCTAAATAAAACTTGAAATTTTTGTTAAATTTAAAAATGTTTCGGTATAATTATCATTTACAGAATAGAGCGAAAACTTTCTATATCCATTCAATTGTGCAAATAAAATTTATGCGTTCATAAAGTTAGCATATTATTATTTTGAAATAAAAGAATCGCTATTTAATCATCCGTTTGTTACTATCATTTTAAATAAAAGAATTTAATTTTGTAATTAGACGTCGAACCATTGTAGACATATAGTATTTGCTGAGGTAATTTCTTATATGTTCCCAACTGGTTGATTCATCTCGACACGAATACAACTACTGTAAAAGATATAATAACAAAAGCAGCAGATAAATATAGAGACAGTCACCCAAATGCACTAGCAAACTCCTTGCTGACAGAAAATTATCGTCGTAGATTGAAGAGAAAATCGCCACTTGACTTAAGTCATCAATTTCCCTGATGAAGATTGTTATTATTTATAAGAAAATATTTATTAGTTATTATTTATAAGAAAATATTTAAGTTTATATTATTATTATTAATATATTATTAATATTATTCATAACGAATGGAAAAACATCTATTATGTCATTATTAGTCATTATGAAATACAATGTCCCTTTTATGGCTGACAATTGCAAATTAACAAATTTGCTTAATGTCCTTAACTGGACAGTTGTAAATAGAGTATTGAATAAAAAAAGGAAATTTGCTAGTAAAATATAGTTCCAGCTGCTTTTTTTCGAAACACTTTTGTTTAAAATAATATTGATCATTGTCATTTCAATTTTGTTTTCATCTACAGAGACATCCGTTAGTCGACCTGGTCAAAGGCGTAGTGTTAGAAGCGCCATTCAACAACATGCCAGACGCCGTGCGCGAATACCCTCTGACGATGCCCTTCCGCCGTCTGCCCTGGTTCGAGGCGACCATCATGCGTCCGCTGGCCAATCGCTTCCCTTTCAACTCGGACGTGCACATCAAATACGTGCGGCAGCCTATACTTATTCTGCACGCGCCCGATGACCGACACGTGCCAATTTGTAAGAATCATCATATTTTTTGATTGTTAATTAATTTGCTCACGGAATGCCAAAAGATGCGACATTTATAAGAAACAGTTTTCACTGAACTGAGACTAACGTATCAAATGAGGTTTACCATAATAAAGTATAATAACAGAACTTGTCACAATTTTCGAGAAGGATAAAATCATAGACATGGACAAGACAGAGATTGGATACCAATATTATGGACTTAAAAATTAAACGAACGTAACTAATTTTCGTCAATAACAACATAAATTGGCATGTATAAAATTTGAGGAAATCGTACATTTTTGTAGACTTACAAAATTTACAACATAAGTTTTTTTATTATTTTTGAACAGCAAGCAGAACCTAATAGTCCTATAAGCTGTTGCGCTGATTTTGACTTAATACTAGTCTGTTTGACAGATGGCAACCCAAACAGTTGTCACATCTCTGTATGATATATTATTATTACAATTTCTGTAATAGGGCGAGTATTTTTAATGGTGCAGCAATGCTGGTGAGGGCTATTTCCACTTGGAAACAAATTGCTATCTATATTTCCAAGTGAAAATCGTTGTCACTGCTGCCTGCTAACAGGCTGCTCGAAATGGGTATCGAACCCGGGACCTCTGAAACAAGCACCGCTCTTAACCGCTTACCTACGGGCGAGCCCTACAACATAAGTAAAATTCATATTTTAAGTTGATTTTTGAAAAATTTGAAATTGCTTGACTTTTGAAAAATTTGAAACTCTTGCTTTTTGAAAATCCTGCTTCTATCTATTTTAATGTGCCATTTATGTGAGTTATTGTAATCAAATTGCTAATTGTTCTTGAATACCTGTTACCTAAGGTTATTAAAGGTTTTTATTGTATCACTTGTCGGTGCACATATTGGCACCTAATCAATACAAAACTTAATGCTTGATTTGACTCATAATATATGAAGTATATTATTATCCAATCTTAGGTTTGGGCGAACGTTTACGGGATGCTGCCACTTCATCGACCTTGACTAAGCAAAGAGTGGTCAAGTTCCTAAACGTGGGTAATGGGTACGGACACGTGGACATCGTTCGGTATCCAGGTCTAGTAAGGGCGCTCAGGGACTTTGAGGACGAATATCGAGACTACAGTCGTCACGCCCAGATTAATCTGTGATTAGTGTGTGGAGCACAATCTACACATTCCAGAGTTTTCATGCTCTAAATTTCTTAGTTAATTATTTGTATACTCTAGAATAATTTTATTTTTGTTTATTTTAAATTACTCATTTTTTCTTGTCGTTGGTAATATAAAGTGTTTCTTTTAGATTAATGTCTGTTTTTGAATAATTGTTTTAAAATTATTCGTAATAATGTTGCATAGATGTTAGGACATTTTTGATGTTGTTCAACCTTGGACAGCTTTGGACATTGATAATTTCTGATAAAATATTAATGACTGTGGTGATCAAACGAAATCAAGCATTTAATACTGTTATAAGGTCACACAAACTATTCTTATGTATTTTGATACAATACTGTACTATGTAATTACGTAACAATTGTTATAAAAACTTACTACAACCTATATTTTTTCTCAAAAAATTAATGGCATAATTACATCGAACAATAGTTCCTTTTATCATGGCCTAATTCAGTTTAGTTTCGATGTCTGACGATACAAGACAAAATAAAGCGCTGAAATCGTTTATAAAGTAGCTGAACGATGTTAAACATTAAATTGTATAGGATATTTTATTTTTGATGTTATAAAATGTTATTAAAACCAAATAAAAATATTAATTATGTTACTTGATTTTTAGTTATACAAGTCGATAAAGTATTGTTAAACAAGCTGCAGTTAAAAATTTTAATAGCTTTTATCGTTAATCTAATATATTATTTGTTTCATGTTTATTAAAAATAGGTTAAAATTTTGGTGCTCATCGTTAGCTGTTTCTGTAGCACGCTTATCGTTCTACAATAAATATTAGTCGAATACTCCAATTCCATAGCACTAAGTTGTTAAACAATTTGAAAACAATACTTGTTGATGTTAATTGATATACCATGCACTCAATTAATCGATAATGTTTGTCAACACAACCAGGGTGTAGCTAGGATTTTTGTAATATTTAACAGATTTCAATTAAAATGAAAATATTTTGGTCAACATCCATCAAATAAGGAGGATAGAAATACCCGTTGCATACCCTAAGCGTTCTAGGCCTATGGCCACAAGTCACAAACAAATATTAACTATTGGTATTTAAGAATTATTCTTAATGACAATTAGTCACATGCACAAAATTATCTTGTGAAAAATTTCATAAAAATGTTGATAAAATGAGTTGCAAATAGTACAGAGATAATGAAGTACAAAGAATATCGAATGTTTAATTTTAAATCATAAACTGCAAATTAGAAACTTAGAATAGTATGAACTATTACATTTCGAAGCAATCCATCTTATATGAACAAAACTTTGAATGCACATAACTCAATATGTAGAAGTAGAAAGATTGATTACGCAACGAGATGTGATAAGAATGATTGGAAAACATTTGAAAAAGCATACGTTTTCATAAAATTTGTATTTGCTGAAGCAACTAAAACATAACGTACGACAAACATAAGTAGACACAAGAGAACTACATTTTTGCATATATGATTTACCTAATTTCTTTGTATCTAAAAAACATCTTTAGTGCTTATTATTTATACAGACTTTTAATGGATATGTTAATGCACTTTAGCGACGTGAGATTCACTTGATTATATTATTTACTATGAAATTATTCTATGTAAAATACATGAATATAATAAATAGTGAAATTTATTATGTTATATATAAAAATGTTTTAATGAAATTTTGTGACAAAAATGTAAAAATAACTAAGTTCGTTTGATTTATATTTACACAATTAGAAATAAACCTGATATGTTAATAAACAAAAGTTTTATTTCGTAAAACCAAACTTGAAGATATTAACCAGAGAACGTTACTCCTGTGCGCTCGTTTAAAATCGTTGAGTTGATCAAGTGTTGATCAAGGATGACCAAACTGCGGCCCGTGGGCTTCACTCCCTTTAAATATTTTTTGCCAAGCATTTCTAAAGTAACATTTTATTTATAACGTATTCTTTTCTTGTTCAATTATTTGGTATGGTATTTTTATATTAAGTTTATTAGTATATATCAAGTTTTGTAAGTTAAATGCGGCCTTGGAGTTGAAAAAGGTGCTCAAGACAAGATCTATGCAGTGATAAGACGGTGTTTTCTTTGCAAGATTTACTATTAGTTATTTTCAAAGTAAATTTTATTCTTTTTTATTGTATATAGAGCAATTCATAAAGAAAAATTTCCATCAAAAAGACGGAGTTATACGATATATTACAGTTTTCTGTGGAATGAAAAAAATAAAAAAAACTGTCACGACGCTGCGACAATTAATTATAATCAACACTATGCCTTTTGGAAATTGCTTTAAACTTTAACATGCTGCAGAAAATAAATCTAGATATTATGTATGTTAATCAATGACCGTAAATTCATATCAAGCAAATTGCATAACATACACAATTTTTTTTTTTTTTTTATATATAATTATAATTTATTTCTTAAATATCTACATTATAATTTACAAAATTTTGTACATAAATGAATTATTCTTATTTTTATTTCTTATTATGTATTCTTTCCGCTTCTCTCTTAAATTCCTTTCGATTAATGTTAATTCTTCAATTCCATTGTATATATTATTTAGAACACCAGATAATAGCCATATTATGATATTGTTTTCTTCTTCTGGTCTTTTCATAATGTCGAATTTTATTAATTTATAATCTTCCTCATTTAGATTAATTTTTAATAATTTCAGTCTATGCTTCATCCAATTCCATATCTTTTTATTTTCACCGCACTCTGTTAAGAAATGTATTGCATTTTCTTCTTTATTACATTTTGTACAATTAGCAGTATCAGCCATTTTCATTTTAAACAGCTTCATTTTCATGGCTATGCATTCATTGACTATCATATAGTTCGTGGTTCTCCAGTCAGAAGGAATATTTTTGTTTTTTAAATTTTTCCAAATATTATTCCAGTTCAAATTCGGGTTTTTCTCCATTATTCTTGGAGTATAATCATTAGTTAGTTTTATATATATTTCTTTTGTTGTAGTATTTTCTAGATTCCATTGATATTTTTCATTTATAATTACCCATTCTTTTTTAATAGATTTCGGAAAATGTTTATTATTGATCCAAAGTTCTAAAAATCCTGTGTTGATTTCCTTTGTTATGATCTGTTTTATCATATTTTTAAAGAGTAATGCTTTACATTTTTCAGCAGTTGATATTAAATTTAGACCTCCTTGGTTTTCTTTCAATTTTAATTGATTTCTATTAATTCTTATTCTATAACCATTCCAGATATAGTAACCTATTATAGTTTCAATTTTTTGTGAAAATACTTTATGCATTGGTAATACTTGCGCTAAATACCATAATTTTGCTAAGGCAAATTGATTTATATGCCAGACTTTTTGAATTACATTTAGTCGTCTTGATAAATCTGTATTTAATGTCACTCTTATATTATTAATTAATTTATTCCAGTTCTCATTAATCATTTCCTCTAAATTTTTTGATATAATCATTCCCAAATATTTAATTTTTGGGGTTTCTGGTATGTTGCTTTCTGAATCCCTTGCCCATCTCATACCTAGCGATAGAAATGTGGATTTTTGTTCATTTATTTCTGCTCCTGAACTTTTACAATAAGATTTAATGATTTCTAAGGATTTTCTTTCTTCACTATTTGATTTAACTATTAAAGTAACATCATCAGCATATGCAAGTATCTTAACATTTTTAGTTATTATATTTTGACCTTCTAATTTTTTTCCCAATTCTTCAAGTAAAGGATCTAAACCAATAACAAATAGTATCATTGACAAAGGACATCCCTGTCTGACGGATCTTTCAATTTTTATATATTCAGATAGATTCCCATTTATTTGTAATCGTGAAGTTGCGTTTTTATTAAGATTCATTATTACTTTGGTTATTTTGTCAGGAATTGATATTTTTCTTAATACATGCAGCAAATAATCATGTGACATCATGTCAAAGGCTTTCTTAAAATCTATGTTTATCAAAGATGCTTTTTCATTATGTTTTATATTATAGTATGCCACCAAGTTTCTAACAGTTATTAAATTATGAACAATATTTCTTTTATCCATACAGCATGATTGCCCCTGGTTAATAATATTTTGAACAGCCATTTTTATTCTATTTGAAATAATTTTTGAAAATAATTTCATATCACAGTTTAAAAGCGTAATTGGTCTATAATCGTCCGTATATTTTGGATCCTTTTTTTTCGAAATTAATATTATTATTCCTTCATTAAGTTTTTTATTTATCTTTTCCGGTTCGTTTAAAAATTCGTTAAATATTTTAACTAAAAAGGGTGTTAAAATGTCTTCATATTTTTGATAAAATTCATACGGAATGCCATCTATTCCAGGTGTCCTATTTTTACTGCTTGTCTTAATCGCGTCCCTCACTTCTTCCTCCGAAATTTCTTTTCTTAGTTGTTCATTAGAAAGAATGCTTATGTTTTTATTATATTTCCTTAGTATGAGATCCATTTCCTTATAATTTATCGGTTTTTCTTTGTAGAAATTTTTGTATGATCTTTCCATTTCTACAATTATTTCTTTTGAATTTTTTAAACAAATATTTTCGTTATTAAATAACGATTTAATGAATTTGTTTTCTCCATTGATTTTTTCCTTTGCAATTTGATATGTAGTAATGCGCTCTTCTTCTGTAATTGTTTGGGTTCTTGATCTTATTTTAATTCCTTCGTTACGAGTATCATATAATTTTCTAATTGTGGCTTTTGTTTCTTTAATTATTTCCCACATTTCACCATTATTATTGTGATTTTCAACTGCCTCCTTCAATACCTTTTCAAAAAAATTTATTGTATTATTGAAATCTATTGCATTTTGTCTGGATAAATTTTTTGCAAAGTATTTTAATTTGGTTTTTACTTTATTTTGCCACCAATCAATTACATTCGTACGTGATGAAATTTTAACAATTTTCTCCCATTCTTGTCTAAATAAATTATCAAATTCTTCGGATTTAAGTATTTTTGTGT